GATCAGCTACACATATAAATTTCTACATCATTCATGAGAGAAAGGACTGAGAACGCACAGCCTCCACTGTCCTTTAAATAGCTTTCTGCATTGAAGAGCATTATAATTAAGCTGCATCAAGTGTCATAGCAGAGAAGCTTCTAAATTATGGGTCTGACTGGGGGCGAGAAATGCTATTTGATTGCTTGACAATCAAAACCAGAAGATATTCACATATGCATAACCTAGACTTACTGTAATTATATCAGATGCAGAAGTGGGAGGAATAGGAGTAGCTTTGAATTCAGTAATCAATTGTTTATCTTTCTTTCAAAAATACATTTTTAACTATTCATAAATAACTCCAAGAATGTGTATTGCAGAATTGTTTTGTATGAGAAACGACATATTAGCAAGTAATGGTCCTTTCAGTGTGTTTCAGAAATAGGTTGTGAAAAAAATGATCATGGATACTCTAAAAGGATACTCAAATTGTAGAAACTCAGACAGTTAATGATCCATCAAGTACTTCACTTGAAACACAATGTCAGAAGTGATATTCATAATGGCTCTGAAATCCACTTCTGCAGTATTTTGAATTCTATCTTCCTTAGCTCTCTGCTCTCCTGCAACTCCTTGTCCTGTCTTGCCAGCTAGGAGATGCTATTAGAACTGCTCAGACAATTCAGAACTTTCTTTGCCTCCTAAAGAAGCCCAAAGGATGTCTTGTGGGAAGAAGCTGAGAAATTAACACCATACCAAAGTGGTTGATGCCTGGTAGGTAGGATTTATAGGAACAGCTGTTGGTACTTGGCCGGGAAACATTCAAACCTGAATGCTGACAGGCTGAAAATGAAGATAGCACATTTTTCATGATCCTCCCCTACATGAAAGACAAAGACCATAAGCTATACACAAAATATGTATTATATATGTAAACAAAGTGGTCTCATGTATTACAGACTTCTGGATTGACCCCTTGAGACAGGAGATTAGGGCAGGGCAAACTGGCTGAGCAAGTAGGCATGACCTGTCAATCACAGATACCCAGCACACATGTGCAAAACACAGTTCCCAGACCCTGCTCCTGGGACCAATCAGAAAGTGCTATCTTCAATTCTCCATTTACATCTGGCACAAAATCAAGCAGGCTTTTGGTAGTATGGCCTAGATGTGACATCAGGCTGAGGAATGGGAGATATAGAAGTCCCCCTCTGTTAACCTCATGACTGTAAATTCTCTCAGTGGCTTGCTCTTACGCTGTAGAGCATACTTCTTTTCCTACCTTTAATAAATGTAAATCTTTGCTACCCATTTTTGTATCTTGTCCAATTCTTTGTTGAAGACACACCAAAAACCTGGAAAGAGTCTACAGATCCAAAAACCAGAAACACCCTCCTTAACATTTAACTTAAAACAGATCTAGTTATGGTAGTAAATGTAGATTTACCTAGCAATGTAGTCCTCCCCCTTGACAAAGTCCAGTGTGTTTTTCCAACTCCCAGGTTTCTGGTGGTTTTCTTTCTCTTGAGTGTTTCTGTTTCCAGGTTCTTACTTCTGGCTTTGTGTACCAATTAACATATTTTTCATAGATGAATGAGAGAAATGTAAGATATTAAAAAAACAATTGAGTGGTTTAAGAATGGGGTTGGATGATTCTTTCTAGAGAGGGAGCTTTCTAGACAAGTTCACACAAATTCTATGGTCCTGCAGAGTGGACCTCTAGATGCCAGTCATACAAAGACAGTTTTCACTCCAGTAAGGGAGAGTTCTTTCTGTGGGTCAGAGATACCTAGAGACAATCTCAAGGGACATGGGATACAACAAGTTTCTCATCTCTAGGAATGGTCAGGTACTCGTTGGCTACCTGAATTTGAGATGTCCCAGAAGCCAACCCTCAAATGAGATATGCATTCAGGTAGAGCCCATAGCAAGTGATTTGGGGAAAGACTGGTAGGAAATGGAGAGATGAGGCAAGGAAGGTATGCTAGAAGCAAAGGATACTTTGTCACAGAGGAGTCCACTCTGGTAACAGGAATTCTAAGCTGCTTGGCAATTCTGGGAGCCAAGGTAAAATACAAGCCTCATTTCTCCAGCCTCAGTGGGCTGAGAGAGCACAAATTTCCATCAGTTGAGGTTGAGAGCTATTTGAAGAGTCATTTTAACTAGCTTCCACTTCCTGTCTGATTGGTGGGAGGATGGCAAAGCAGGAGCTGAAGGTTTAAGAAATCCTGTAGCAAAGAAATGCTGTGCAGGCAGCCAGAGGCTAGCGTGGCCCCCAGGGAGCTGGTCAGCATGAGAGGATCTATCTGCACCACTAGCTAAAGGCCTGAAAAGGCTGATAGAGAAATAGTATTTCCGTAAGATGACTCAAGGACTGAGCCACACTCAGCTATATCTTTTTTGTTTTTTGTTTTTTCACAGTGTTTATTTTTTTAGATTACATTTGAATGACCAGAGGCACCACTGCACTCTCTCCAGTTTGCCTTGGGCCCCAACGCAGACTCCAGGCCAGCTTCACATATTTACACAACCTGTCAGGCTAGGTAAACTCCAGAGTTTACTATTCCAAGGGAAATTCAAAGGCCACTGCCAAGTGTCAGATTCTATGATACTAGACTAGAAGATCACTATGCCCCCTTTCAGCAACCTCATTCTATGATCTAATTATATGCTGTCCTCTTACTTCTGCTCACAAGTTCTTTAAGGGCAAGGGTAGAGGTCTACAAATACTCTTGATTTATTAAAATGAAGTCATGCATTTCTAAATGCTAATCCATAGAACAATATTCATATATACACTAACTACTACCACCATTATTATTAGTACCATACGAGTGTAACACATCAGAATAGATTACCCAGAGAAACTGCTTGGAATTCCCCTGGTTCAATTTAAGGTTTGCAGTTCTAGTTCAGTGAGTTTGTTAAGACAACCGCGAACACGGGTGCTCACCCTCTTTGCTTTAGATCGGAAGGAAAGATGGCCTTGCCAGGGAACATTAAAACCCAAGCTTTTAAAAATTGGCCTTGTTTTATTCTAAGTGCAAGAAGCCAGATCGAAAGGCTATGCACCAGAAAACTCCATTTATATGACACTCTAGAGAAGGCAAACCTATAGACAGAATTGAAAGCAGCGGTTGTGGAGGTGGAGGGAGGGTTGTGGGGAGGATCCGGGGTGATGGGAATGTTCTGCGGAGATGGTTAACACTGCTATGCACATTTGTCCAATCTATCAAACTGTACCCTGAGAAAGGGTGAGTTGCCTGAATATATATTAAATCTCAATAAATCTGACTTGTTCAAAAATTGAAAAACAAAATAATAAAAAGCCCTAGGCTACTACACATGAGCTTCCTCAGTCTCTGGGAACTGAGGTGCCCCTGGAGATGGAAAGAGTGTTTGGTTCTCCCTGCCCTGAACTTGTCTCTTGTTTCTGGTCATTTTAAACTATCTCCTCCTTAAATGTGATTAGACACATCAGTGGATGAAATAAGACTTATTTTGTCATTTCTCTCAACTTCTTGCAATATCTTTTTACCACTGATGTTTTTTCCAAGAACCTATTCCAGACCTTGCATTTTATTATCTCAACATACTTGTTATTTTACTTTTGAAAAAAGAGATTTATAATGTCTGTCTATAATTTCCAAGATAATTCCTAGACTTAAGAACCACAATCTGACAGTAGAGAAAGCACAGTTTGATCCAGCTTGAAGGATTCCAAGATTCTACTTCAAAAGCCAACAGACTGACTTTCCCTGTCAAATCTATTTCTCTCTTTTTGAATCTCCCGTGCAGCGCGCATCCCTGAAGGCCCTGACCTTGCTTCTCCCGTTGGAAAGTGCTGTCTGATGTGGTTTCATCTGGGGCAGCTGCCACAGACGACAATCTGGGGAGTAAGACAGCACAACTGAATGCCCGGAGCCTTTTGCATTGCCCCAGCTGACAGGAGGGAGAATGCTCATACTTCTGTGTGCTTGAGCAGGGGAGGCAGCTGCCATATGGGGATGGTTATGAAACCCGGGGCAGGCACCAGCTCCTCGTAATATGATTGACTGATCCCTTCTCCTTTCTGTACCTAGAATTCCTCTTTCTCCTTCTTCCAGGTAGCTAGTCCTCCTCCCTCATAATTTTGCTGCACATCCTAAATTTCCCAGTTCAGCCCTTTCCCCCAACACCATCTCTGCCTTTTCCCTGCCTTCCCCAACACTAGGCTATTTGCCTGTAGAGGGCAATTCTTGTATTGCTGGTGGGTTTTCTTCCCTATCTGCAACATTACTTATTCCTTATAAATCTTTGCCAATGGATAAAAAAGAATGAGCTCATGCTGCTTTTGGAAGTCTGTTGATCAGTTGGAATTGATTTCAACTGCAAGCAAAAGAAAAGCTTGCTGACTGGTATTGGCTCACACAGATTGGCATATCTTTCCCTGGCTTAAAAATTTCTTAAAGAAAAGCAGCTGCTGACCTTGGTTTAGAGGAGCTGGAGGTCAGGGTCAGGAGCTTTGTGACTCACCTGGTCTCTCTCCTTTATGATCACAATGGGGTTTTTGAAACACTTGACCTTTGTGATTAGGTGGAAAGGAGTTGTATTGGTTTGCTATTGCTGTCTGACAAATTGCCACACTCATAGCACCTTGAAACAACATAAAAGTACTATTTCACAGTTTCTAAGGTCAGGAGTGTGGTTACTGGTTAACTGAGGAGTTACTGGTTAACTTGAGCACAGATGCTCAAGGAATCACCAGACTGCCACAAAAGTGTCAGCTGGAACCAAGCATTACCTGAGGCTCAGGGGTCTTTCAGGCTCACTGGTTGGTGGCGGAATTTGGTTCCTAGAAACTGCTCCAAGCCAGTTTGCAGCATGACTCTTGCTTTCTTCCAGGAGACCCACAGGAAATCCACTCTCTTGTAAGAGGTTCGCTCGTTATGTCAGGCCCTTCCAGAATAATCTCCCTTTTGCTTCAAGTCAGTGGATTGACCCAAGTCAATGGATTAGTAATCTAATAGTGGACGTGGTGTCCCATGGCTCTGCCCATGCCCAAGGGAGGGGGATTATCCAGTGGTGCAGACTGGCGGGGGTATCTGGGAATTCTGCCAGCACAGGAGTGATGACAGCTGTGCGTCTCTGTCATTTGGTGAGTAAAGACCTTCTGACATTGTCCTGGCCACCACTAGAGGCAAGGAAGCTGGTAGAGTGGAGATCTAGCTTTTCCAGGTTCTGAGGGGAAGATGAGGAAAGGACAGGTGCTGGGGAAAAGGGGTGGATTGATGGGTCAACAAAACGCACCGCCGTCAAAGCTGCTAGAAACCTGAATTCTAGAATTTTAGCTCTGGAGGAAGGCATGAAGATCCCTTAGTATGGTGTTTCTATTTTCTCCAGAATGAACTAAAGTCCAGAGGACTTGTGTGAGGTTCTTGAAGTCTGGCCTAGACTCTCCAGGTTTGTGCAAATTTACACTACGATGTTCACACCATGGTGCAATCACCTGATGATACATATCTTAGAGTGTAATTCTATCATTCAGTAACACATGACTGTATTTTCAGTTTGCAGCTTCAGGGACAGAAAGAAAAGGCAGTGGAATGCTTTCATTTAGCAGGAGGAGAAAACCTAGAAACTAGAAAATGAGTATCTGTGACACTGACCAGAGGAAAAAAGATTGTGGACCCAAGAAGACCGAGTCTAAAGGTAGTGGTCACCAGTTTCTGAGCATGCAGCTTCAGGAGAGAGGGAGGGAAAGGGATTGCAAGATTTTTAGGAGCGAGTTTGGAGGACGGCTGACGGCCGGCCTGTTTAAACATTTTCAGGAGTCTAAGGATAACAGGAAACTCAGAGGCGACAGAAGCAAGGGAAGGCTGTTTGGTTCAATTGATTTTGAGGATGAGGGTGATTTGAGCACAGGTTCTGTCTAGCAGAAAGGTAAAAAGAAAAGGGAGGAGGAATAGGAAAGAGAAGACTGTGCCGAAGGGGAGGTACAGAACCGGAAGTGTCCTGAAAGGTGAACTCAGGAGGCATCACAGTCCTCCGAGTGAGGAAGGAAAGAGGAGAAAGGAAGGCTTTCCACAGTTCCTTTCTGCTCCCCACTGGCTTGGGGAACTGCGGGCTAGCAGGTGGCCTCCTGCACCTCAGCTTCCTCCTTACCGCATCGTTCGCCTGGGGGACAGTAGAGCTCAACTAGCTATCACTGTGCCCCAGACATTTCGCTCCCCTTGCTCTCCCGGCCAGTAGATTGCTAACAACGGAGACAATAGACCAACAGCAGGCAGCATTCCTCCCACACTTGCAAGGCCACATTCAAATGAGATGAACCTCAGAAAGATACACGGCAAGGAAATCATTTGAATGTCTCCTGAAGGGACGATGTGAGTAGGTGTCTGACTGCTGCATATAAAATGTCTTAGTACATTTTATCTAAAATCACGTTATTGCAGGATAATTTTTTTCTGATTTTTCTTCCTCTTATTTTCCGAGTTCAATCAACTCTCCTTTCATTTATTTCTGGCTTTCATCTGTTTTAGTACTTAGCTCTTGAATTTGTGATTAAGGTGTTCTTCCTGTTCCCCATGCTTGTCCGAGGACGTTAACGCAGTATTAGTTTTTTCCCACTTCGCCATTGTTTAAGGGAGGAATTTTCCTCAGTTGCACTCTTTGAACTTGTTTTCTTTTTATGTAATGATCTTGCACAGAAGAGCCGTGTGCATTTCTCTGGGCAGGGCTCATAGTTGGAGTGGTTGCAAGATTCCTAGCTCACGAGCGCCCTCTTCTGTCAGTGTAACAAAGTATGATTTCTTTCTTTTTTCTTTTTTATGATTATTTTTCTTTAGTACCTGTTTGCAGTACATGATGTTTACAAACGTCTTAGGGAGTAGGTACACATACTTAACATATCACAATTCTTTTTATTCCCCTTCCCTTCCTCCCTTTCTCCTCCATCTTGGGATCCCTTTCCCATTTGCAAACCATCTATCTTCCCATTTCCTACTGTCTCTTTCATTTTGTTCTTTAAATTATTTATGCTTTGGGTCTCTTATATAAGAGAAGTTACGTGATATTTAAGCTTGTGTGTCTGATTTTTTTCACATAACATTATGGGCTTCTTTTTTGGAAAGTTAATAATGGAAGAAGGGTTGGGTTTCCTTCCTTTTCAGAGGAGAAGTATGTCTGGTAAGTTCCTCAATTCCTGCTCTCTGCAAGGTTTGCAGAGGTCTCCGCTGCTTTCCTTTTGACCCTGTTCACCAGGGCCGATTATCCGACCAAGACAGCCTCTTCCTGTACTGCAAGCTGAGAGTGAACACTCTGACCGACCTCAGCCTTTTTTTCAGTATTTTCAAACTTCCTCTTTCTGGGGGTGATTTTAGACCAATCTTAGGTCTAACACTAGTTCTCACCATCAAATACATGATCTTCCCCTAACTGGTTGAAGAACTGAGGTTTTCTTTCCCTTGGGGACTTACAGCAGGAGTGTGGGAGGCAACTTGCTGAGGTTTCCTGTTTATTTTTCTATTTACAGTTAATTTGAAATGTGGACACTCAATGTCTCTGGTTAAGGGGAAGATAGGGGTTTTGTATATTTACATTTGATCTTCTTATTCTTTATTGTTTTGGGTGAAAGTATGTTGGGAAATTCAGATTTATACCACCACCATTTTCTTGACTTCCCAGAATTCCTCCATGTTTACTCTAAATCTGTCTGATTGGTCCACAAGATGCATTGGTGTCCACTGACATCAATAATCTCAGGGAGCTCCTTAGGCTTCCATATTAAGAGTGGAGTTGGGCTACAGGTGAGGAATATTCCCTTAAAGATATTTGGGGGCTTTTCTTGTGGAACAAAGAATTCAGAAGTAGGTGGTAGCGGGCAGAAGCACTGCCATGCTGGAGTTGAAATCGCTGTGACAGTTTAACCTTTCCTTCTCAGCTGCCTATAGTTATTACAGGGCTGTTCTACCTCCAGATGCATATCTGTAATCCATTTGGAAAATGGGCAAAATGTGAAGGGTGAAAAACATTTGTCAATAGTCAACTTTTCAGCACAGAAAGCTCTAATAGGTTAAATTCATTTCCAAAATGACACCCAGCCATCGCACCTACTACACACAGATAAACACACACACACACACACACACACACGCTTACAGAGACTTTTATATTTTCATAGCTCTTTGTCCATTGGGATAACTTCATATGCTAAAATATGTACTAGTTTTTGGTGTTAATGTAAACTACTTTTGAAGGTATATCAACTCCATAAGTTTCATTTCAGAAGAGAGGGAACCAGACATTGGAAAATTTTCATACTGAAGCACACCTTTTTATATATTCCAGCAGACAGTATCTTAGCATGTAATGATTACATTCTGACCCACAGAAAACTCTCAGGAGATATGAACTTCTGGCTCTACCACTAACTACTGATGCTGTTGGAAGAAGACATTTAACCTTTTTGAACATCACCAGTTTCTTGTCTCTGTAGAAGGATGGGATTGATTGGTATGATTGTTTCCTTAAAGATCTGAGACTGATTTGGGGAATTTACACATTTAATCACCATTTGTTTGATGTTGGCCATATGCTAGGCACCATTCTATGTACTATGGGTACATTGTAGTCTGTTACTATGATGAGGGAGAATTTCAAGCCCATACAAAGGAGATGATGAATCAATAACTAGGAAAAAATTTAACCAAGGAGTTACACAGTGACTGGCATTAACACCAATGAGCCACATGCTTGGCAACCTTCAAGGGCTTGGAATTTAGCTCAATGGTTCTGCTGCCTGTCTCGCAAGCACAAGGTCCTGAGTTTGATTCCTGGTACCAAAAAAAAAAAAAGAGTAAATTTATTCAAGCATCCTAACCACAAAAATGATCAGTAGATGAGATAATAAATACATTAACTACCTTGATTTAGTCATTTCACAATGTCTATGTTTCAAAACATCACATTGTACACCATGAATTTTATTTGTCAATTAAAAAAATTAAAAAACAACATGTTATAAACCAGGAGATGAAAGACTTCTACACTGAAAACTGTAGAACACTGCTGAAAGAAATTAAAGAAGGCCTAAAGGAATGAGAGACATTCTATGTTCATGGATGGGAAGACATGACATTAGTAAGATGTCATTAATGCTCAAAGTGATCTACAGACTCAATGCAATTTATACCAAAATCCCAATAGCTTGCTCTGCAGAAATGGGAAAGCCAATTCTTAAATTCATATGGAATTTCAAGGGCCCCAAATAGCTAAAATCATCTTGAAAAAACAATTTTTTAAAAAAGCAGAGGGCTCACACTTCCTGATTTTGAAAAGTTACTATAAAGCTACTATAGCCAAAATGGTGTTGTACTAACATAAAGATAGACATATAGGCCATTGAAATAGAATTCAGACTTCAGAAATAAACCCATGTATCTATGGTCAGCTGATTTTTGATAAGGGTATTGAATCCATTCAAACAAAAGAATTTCTACAAGCAAAAGAATGAAATCTGGGCCAGGGATTTACGTCAGTGGTGCCGCCACCTGCCTCGCAAGCACAAGGTTCTGAGTTCAATCCCTGGTACCAATAAAAATAAATAAAAAATAACTAAGAATGAAATCAGATTCCAACCTCACATCTATACAAAAATTAACTCAAAATAGATCAACAGTCTAAATATAATGGCTGAAATCATAAATTAAATTGAAAGTATTCTGAGCACATTTAAGGTAAGCTAGGCTAAGTTATAATCTTCAATAGGTTAGGTGTACCAATTGACATGCAATAGGTTCGAATTTCGGTGGGTTTATTGGAACATTACTTCATTGTAAGTTGAAGAACATCTGTACATACACAATGGAATATTAGTCACAAAAGGAATGAAGTTCTGATACATGCAACAACATGGATGAATCTCATGGTAAGTAAAACAACCCAGACATAGAAAGACAAATACTGCATTGGGGCCAGGGATTTAGCTCAGCGGTTTTGCCTCCTGCTGCACAAGTGCAAGGACCCAAGTTCGATCCCCGGTACAAAAAAAAAAACAACAAATACTGCATGATTCCACTTATATGAAATATCTAGAATAGGCAAATTCATAGAGACAGGAAGTACTTAGAGGTTAGGAAGGACTGGGGGGAGAGGAATAGAGAGTTATGGCATAATGGCTTCAGAATTTCTGTTTGGACAGTGAAAATCTGGGGGGACCAGGTAGTGGTGGTTGTTTGCCCAATAACATGAATGCAACTCATGCCACTGAATTATACACTTAAAATTGGTTTAAATGGCAAACTTTGTTACATGTACTTTTTCACAATAAAAAGAGAAAAAATGGGATAGATGGGAGATTTAGGGCAGATAGTCATGGCTCAGAGGAAGATATCGGCTGGGCCTTTAGACACACAAAGAAATCCATAAAAATGTAGATTTACGCCTAAGTACAAACCTAAGTTTACCTTAACAGGTACTCAAACACACAGCTCTTCGTCTCTACAGTCCTACATATGTGCAGTCCACAATTCCAGTAAGAAGATGGCTAAGTCAAAGCATCCACACACTAGAGGTACACACACGTGCCTATTACACCAGGTGACAGGATAGCCACACAGGTTAGCCAAAGAGCCTGCCCACGCAAGAGCACGTTCTAAAGGGGAAAGGAAAGAAATGCCTGCAGACCTGAGAGACGCGCACAGATAAGCACTTAGCACAACGAAGCAGTGGAAGAGTTCAAGGGCATATAAATGGGTCACTGGTTGTAGAGGGGGGGATCAGGGTCGTGAGCACAGCGGAAGCACTGGGGGCTAACTGCGCTGTACAAGGGCAGGGATTGAAGGTGGGTGAGATGGGAGAATGAGAACATGAGTGGGTGTACAAACAATAGCTACTTACAGCCTTCTTTGTCTGATACTCATAACAATAGGCTGGAGTTGCCGAGTTTTACTCTTTCTCTTGCCTGTGACTGTCTGACCTTTGGTTATCAGAAATCCAACTCAGGAACCTTTGTAAATGTGGATCCCAACGCTACTCTGGGGCAGTCCTCAGGTGAGGTCAGTGAACCACTGCATCTGGCCTCTTTTGCCCGGTAGAGTGAACCCGCCTCATCCAGGGGCTGCACTGTGCTGTGGAAAGCACCAACCCCACTGGCGGCCAGCCCAGAGCCGTGGTGCAGAGCGAAGTCCCAGAATAACCAAGGCCAAAGGCAAAAGCAGTGATGGGGCCGAGGAAGTGACATACTGGGAGCGGTGAGTCAGGAGCACTGGGAGCTAGCACTCAAAGGAAGTAGTCAGCGATGAGGGCACTGATAACGTAACACTGAGGCATGAGCACAGGACCATGCCAGCAGACCCCTTGTATGTGAATCCTGTATCCTTTGTGATCACAAAGGCTGTACCTGAGCAAGGCCGCTGCTGACGGAAATACACAGCTAGAGGCCACCAGGGCATCATGAAGGTCCCACGTGTCCTGCTACCAGTCCCCCCATCTTTCCCTGGCCCCGCCTCTTTCACAGGCCCCGCTTCTTTCCCAGGCCTTTCCCCCCAGCGCTAGCACTTTGTTTCTTCACTGACCCAGCACCAATGCCCTCTTCCCTCCTATTAAAACCCTGAGTAATTATGGGGATAAAATCTTATCTTCCGCTATTAGGAAAGAGAATTCTCCACTTACTGCTAATCAATAAAATTAGAGTGAGTTACATAGGATTATCAGCATTTCCTTGGTTTCTACCTGCATTTTCAGAACCAAAAAAAATACGCCTTGGTGAGTATAGGGTGTTAAAATTCAGTAAAGAAGGGAACATCCTGGCATGTTTTATAATAACTTTTTTTTTTTTTAGTTTTACAATAGCTTTCTGAAGAGTATACTGACAAAATACAACTTTGGTCTTTTAGTAGGGAACCACGATTGGCTTTGGATTTTGATTGTAGACACCATCTTTAAAACAATAGACTACTTTGAATTAACTTACTCATGGATATAGCAAGTATAATTTTTTTTTTTTTTTTTTTTACCAGGGATCGAATAGCAAGTATAATTTTAACAAATACTAACTAGGGAAGTGTGTTTGTATATTTGCAAACGATGGAGATGTGTGACTTTGCCAAGTAAAGTCCACAGTTCATGGAATTATTATTACTGAAAGTGTTTTTAAATTTTTTTCATCTTTCAGCTCTTATAAATCCACATTGCAGGTTATTTGAACTATAATGGATGGTGATTCTAAAGGAAATTATCATATTCTGCTTCTTAACTTTGAGTTCAATTGTGGTGGAAAAATTATTCTGTCTTTGAACATAATTTAACTTCTGAAAGCATGCATGAAAGGATAACTCCAGAAAGAACAGAGAAGCTGACAGCGGCTTGACTTATTCTGGAGGAAACGAAGTGAGAGAAATGGCAGAAGCCAGGGCTGGTCTCTATGGTGTGACACAGACTCCAGACAGACGGGCTTGGCTGGACAGTGTGAGCAAGGATTCTGGAGACTGTATGTGCTTTTCAGACAACCCACAGGCCTACACGAAATATCACAAGCCAGCTGCCTCTGCAGGTTCCTACTCAGAGGAAAGAAAGCAGACCATTGTCAGCGCGAGGGAGCTGAGGAATGAGCAGCAGCTGCTCAGGACTCTGCAGCAGGCTCCAGCCCCACGCGGAGGCCACTGCCTACTTCAAGGGTGGCACCAGCACCCTCCACTCTGCCCTAGACTCCTCCAGGTGCCAGGCAAGGTCACCTGGAAGATACAGCATGCCTCCCGCCATCCAAGCCAGTGTGGATAGCCAGGTGGTATTTTGCTTTTTTTTTCCTTTGTGATGTGTATGGATTCACATTCTGTTTTTGTTTTAAATATTAGGGGTTTTGGTGTTTTGCTTTAAAACAAGAATGATTTCCTTTTTAGAAAATATCACCTCTTTATGTAGAAAACCCAGACAACCTAAAAGAGAAAATATTCATCCAAATTTAGAATGCCCAGAGAAAAATAATTGGATATAAAATCATGCAAATATATATGACATATATACATATATACATAGTTTTGTAAACTATTTTCACTTAATGTGTAAATAATATCATTCAGTATTACTAAATAAGCAACCATGCATCATTCATGGTTATGTGATATTTTATTATTAGTAGCATTATTAATTTGCCTGCAGTTGTTGGACATTTATGTTGTGAAGGCATTTTGCTATTATGTATTTTACCAATTCTTTTTTTTTTTTTTTTTTTTTTTTTTTGGTACCAGGCATCGAACTTGGGTCCTTGTGCTTGTGAGCCAGGCGGTGGAACCACTGAGCTAAATCCCTGGTGGTATTTTGCTATTATGAATGATGGTATGATACTTATACACTCATCTGTTTATATTTCTGCAGGATAAAATTCTACAAGTAGAATTGTTGACTGCATCCCTTTTATTTCTTAGTTAAAAAATTTATTAGCCCACATTTGGAATACATAGTGACTCCATTCATCGTGGGGTATCGGTGCATGCACATAACACATGTTAATTCTTTTGACTTTTTCCCTTCCCTTCCTCTCCCCCCCCTTTTTCTCTAGAGACCGCATTCCTTTTAAAGTTTTTGATTGGTAGAGACAAGTTTTCCTTCAGTGAGAGAATATCAGTTTGTGTTCTAACCAACTGAGTGTTATGTTCATTTCCGCATTAGTGTTTTTAAAACTAATTGCAAAAGAAAATCAAATGAACTTTGGGAGAAGCAATATATCAATGAAGAAAATAAGAACAACACAAGAGAAATAATGCTTTAGTTTCCCCCCGGACTCATCCAACTGTAGTCTGTTTCCTCTCTCCCTCTCTCTCTCTCTCTTCTCTCTCTTCTCTCTCTCTTTCTCCTTTGACCAAGTGAGGAATACTGTGGTAGAGTTGGTCACCAAACCTATAGCTTTTCCTGTGCATCCAGACAGACTACATCTCCCAGGCTCCCTTGAGGTCAAGGGTGAACATCAGTTCTGGCCAACAGAACATGGGCGGAAA